AAACAGCCTCGGATTCCCAGTGCTTCTCGTCGCCGGTCATGCTTGTAAGATTAGCTGTCGGCAACCATTTTTATACCATATCGGTGATAACAACATTACTACGTATGCGTCTTCAGGAAGTTATGTGTCCCTGACCCTTGTGAAGGTCAGGATTGGCTCAATGTAGGCCAGCTTCGATTAGCCGAGAAAAACATTGCGCCAGCATTACACTGGTTAACTCGTCTTGCAGATTACAGATTACTCATGAATTCAACTTCATGAATTCAACTACTTCTTTAGCCAAAGGGTTGACACTTGGACACAGAGGCAATTTTGCAATACACAGACACAGCCTACCAGTTTTTAGGATAGGTGGAGGTATTCCTCGCCTAGCTTTTTCAAAGATGATGGTACATATATGATCGGAATGTGACCCCTTGGCTGCTATTAACGACGGCGGTGGCGAAAAGCACTTTATTTTATTAGAAATGCATAGGTTGGACTATCTTCCAGGTACAAACCATCATTTATCGGTGTATACAAAAACTGGTAAGACATGTTGTCATGGAATGAAGAGAAATTGCCTACAGCTGAGAAGATGGAAGCAGGTGGCATAGAATTTAGAGCAGCGTTGGTTGTGTGAAACTAAGGTACTCAAGAAAACAGACCAGCCCCTGAATCCCCTACAATCTGTAATCTAGTAGGACCTTCTGCAAAGTACTTTCGGATGAAAACCAGCACGTGCGTCCTCAGTTTCATGATTCGGGCGGGCCCCTGTTGTGGCAAGACTTCCGATTGCTTCATTCCATCACTTCTTGCGTTAGGCACTAAATTAGGCAGATCATGAGCATACAATGTATATAAGTAGGCCCTAACAATTGCGGAGGAACCCAAGAAGCTTGCATTTCTGCAATCTGTTGATCTGCTGTATCACCTCGCTCTATCACTCCTAAGATCTTGTAAGCCAATTTCGATCCTTCCCTCAAAGAAATCTTGACTGATAGGATGATTTACGATGGGTTCTCTGCCCAGAGATTGCGGACCCGGTTTCATTGCCTAGAAGTTGTCAGAAGGTTGAAAGAAGGAGGATCAGGAGAAAATTTCACTCGTGGCCCACCATATCACCACAGCGCCTTTCTCTGATTGCACCAAAATGAGCTCATCGAAACCTTATCTGACGACGGGCTCGATGAATGGCGACGACCCATCGATAGCGTCGAAGGAATTGGATAGAGTCGCGTTGTGAGTAGTACGTGAAGCCAACCAACCCTTCGATTTGTTCAAACCATGTCTGTTCTCTTCTCAGAATCCGGAATGCAGCTGAGATGGGGTTATTTCAGATAATACCATGAGATATTACTAAAATGCTTTGCGCTTTTGTCAAATCCTTTCTTACAGAAGCGAGGACTCCAACTGTCAGTACGTTTATTATTAAAAAACGCAAATTTATACAATCCTGAAGCAAGTATGGTCTTGTAGAGCAAGTTAGGATTTGGCTGGCTTCTTGCACACGTATTTTCTCATTTTTATGCCACAGTCTACATCATTCCACTGCGTTTTCGAACCTTTGTAGTCATCTTGAAGGATCTGTAAAAATAATCCAGTGAAAGTGGTAAGTTATTGATAAATTGGATGGTTTTATAGGGCATTGCTTGTTACCAACGAGTATATCCTATTTTTTCCTTTCGGGCTTCACTTTCTGTATATCTATAAACAAGCAGTCTGAGAAAAGGTACACCTCAGCCATGACCTTGATCGAGGTAGAATGCGGAGCACACAATTCCTGGTTCCGCCTGACCCCGTATTACTTGGGAGCGGGGCTAAATTAGAACGCCGTATCAGTCGGTGAGACGGTTGAGAAGAGGATGTGCTTGTCGACGAAATGCTCTGATATCCAGTGAATTTTGGAAAATTTCCAATTTTCCCCCAAAAATGGTTTACAGGATCAAAATCCCTCTCACATCACGTCCTTCAGTTATTAGAGAACTGGTATCTTTGAGTTGGTCATGAGTTACCCAGCATATCTCAAAGTGCCAGAAATCCCACATAAGGTCTAAAGTAACTGAAGACTGAAAGGTTACCTGGGTGCAGGCATACTTGCTTGCGTCCTTTTCTGGTTTTCCTTTCATCCAATTCAGATAGCTGGTATCACTGCCATCAGTCCATGCCCATTTGTTCTGCTGAAACATGACCATGTCAGTTATTCAGCTAATACATCTGAGTGCCCCACATCTGAGTGCCGTTGTGCCATCCTTCCCAATCAAGAAATTCAAGAAATTCAGCGGAAAACTGGTTTTTAGTACAATTTGCTTATTTAAGTAATGGTATGCAAATTAGACTTACAACGAAGCGAAGGCCGATCCATGTCATATCACTTGTGCTTTCTTTCGTTCCAACCTCTGTTAGAGCTACAAAAAGAGAACAAAAATTGGCTAGACTGTACGATATTCCGTATAGATCAATAAAAAATAAACAAAAATCGGGCAAATATAAATTGAACAAAAGTTTCCGGTCAACTACAAAGTCTGAATTTTCTTCCTCACAGCAGTACGACTCTCAAGTTTAAGGGAAATCGAAAGCAAGGCGTTTTATAGAGCTCGATTATTGGAAA